TGGATACTAATAGTTACTAGGAGGGTTACAGAAGGGATTAATGTGATTGTGCAATAAAGTCCTCAGTGTTATGCCAGCACATAGTAAGATGTTCAGTCTACACAACATTGTGCTTCCTCCAACTACTCAGCCACAGCTGCTCTCCCTCATCCTTATGAATTTTGCTGCTTGACAGTCTGGGGATGGAGCTGCTGAAGACTGAGTTATATCTTCAGCAACCTTGCTACGCCAAATGTGGTGCAGAACTAGGAGCATTTGTATTACCCAAGAATCTCAGAATCTGCAGAATTTCAGGCTCCACTCAGGATTTATTCAACCAGAATCTGCACTTTTAATCAATCTCCAGGTGATTTGTCTGCACAGTTAAGTTTGAGAAGGTATTGGTCTGACTATTCAGGATGCTAGGGGTGGTTGTGTAGGAGGCGTGGGGGTACAGAAGCATTTGATATCTCTGCTCTGAAATTCTCTAGTCTGGAATTTGCATTCTTTTGGTCTCAAACCCATCACTCAGTAGCAATGTGCTCTTCACAAAACTCCAGTGACCTTTACCACTGGGAGAAGCTCTATCTTCAGATTCAGCAGATATGGGTTCAACCCCAACTTTGTTATCTGAAAGATTTGGTAGATCGGAGACATTGAAACAAATTATTTCAACTCTCTGAGCTCAGTTTCCTCACCTATGACATGTGGACAAGGCACATTCCCTAAGATGTAATTAGAGATAAGCAGTGATAAAGTATTTAAAAAGCCTGTTACATCCCAGGAGATACAATGTGTATTTTGATACTGAAGACCTCTGAAGCTGAGCGTGCATCTCAACTCCATGACCCACTTGGCCAGTCCCTTCCTCTCCTGGGACTTAAGTTTCACCATCTATAAAATGGGCATTTAGGTTAAATAACCTCTGAGGTCTCCCTCTGCTCTAAAACTTGGTGACTCTTAGGCATATTTCAGTATGCATATATGAATCCTAATGGTAGCTCATGTTCAGAGAAAAGTTGAGACTCCCACCATCCTGACACATTATCTAAACTGTCTTTCAATCAGAGTCCTGATAAGCGGGTTAGATTTTCTATGTTTTAATGCATGTATTTGATTAGTACAAACAAGAGACTCATTGAAAGTGTTGGCAGTTATTAAATAGCTTGAGGCCATATACCTAAATGATCATAAGGTTGGTACTAAGATCTCCAAAGCTGGATTTTGAACCTCTGGCATGCTTGGGGCACATATGTGATACTAGAAGTTCTCTGATTTGAATTAGAAAGCTGTCAAGATCATCCAGACTGAAAATGCTTGACAGGAGCAGGGGAGACAACAACCTGGCTTCCCATAATGGAGACTTATGAAATGATAGATGATTAATTAATTTAAAGTGGTTGAAAGTATCCCAAGTAATGCTTTCCCCCAGCCCTTTTGAAGAGAATGTAGGATCAGGAAAGTCAGAAATACACTCAAACTAACAGTTTGTGCCCCTGAGAGAGAGAGCTAAACAGGCATGATTTATCACCCATTCATGCCTTCATTCTTTTGCTGAACCTTATTTGAGCACTATTACAGATAGACATTGCGCTACGTGTTGGGGGATGGAAGATCAGATCAGGAATCAACTGGGCAATTCCAATGTCCTCTATGAGATGAGACATATACCCAAATAACTGTAACACAAGATAAAAACTATCAGCAGAGAGGGAATGATGAAATGCTTTGAACATGTATGGGACAGAGAGATTACTTCTGAGTCTTTCTAGCAGATGTGGCATCTAATCTGGGCCTTCAGTGATTGGATTTTATTCACTGATTCAACAAATGTTTGCCAGGAACCAGTTAACCACAATGCCTCGTAGAAGATGCATTCAGAGTTGGTTAGTTATGAAGGAATGGTTTGCCAGTGTTATCTTCTATGATTTGCTCTTCCTCCTCTTCCTTTTACACCCCCCAGTTTGGGGCCGCTAAACTAGTAGATCACTTGGGGGATGATCCAAAGTGGTCATTGCTAAATGTTGGTGTCTCCAAGCCAGACAAACCTGCATTCATTCAACATACATTTATCAAGGAGATACTGTGTGCCCGACACTATACAGCAATGACCCCAGGCACCGCGGGATGTAGCTTACTGTAGGCCAGTTGGAGAGAGAGATAGTGTCAGATGATTTCACAGATACATGTGGAAATGTAACTGATGAGTGCCACAAAGGGACGAGGCTTTGTCTCTGAGGGACTTATCTTAAGGGGAGCTGGCTAGTTAGGGGGATGCTTGAGGTATAATGCTTGACCCTTGACATGCTCAAAGTGTAAGTAGGAGTTAACAGGCAAAGAAGGAAGACTAGTGCTCAAGGTAGAGAGAAGACTGTGCTCATGGGTGACTTTCTCGAGGAGTTGGGGAGAGGAGAGCTGAAAAGAAGACAATGCGAAGTGATTTTGGAAGTGTAGGGAGCGGACTGAGTCAATAGTTTTGTCCTTAGTGTAAAAGTCATCAGAAGCCACCGAAAAGTTCAAGCAAGAAAGAGGGATGGCCATATTTATATTGTGAAAAGATCCTGCAATTTGCTAGCTCTCAGTGTTAAACTCATTGAGTTCATCTATCTTCTGGCTGCGACAACAGGAATAAACCCAAGGCAGGACAGAATAATAGATGGAAGGAAGCCAGTTAGAACGCTAGTGCTGAAGTTCAGAAGAAAGATGTTCTTTTGATCAGGGTGGTGGTGGCGATGGAGAGCACTGGAACCTCTGAGAAGTAAATAGGAGCTACATCAATAGTGTGGTGGGTAGAACATGAGCGATAAGGTGAGAAAAGGGTCAAGATATTGCCTAGATTCCTCTTTGCAATTGTAATTGGATGAATGGAGTACCATTCACTGAAATGAATCAATAGTTGGCCTCATCCCAGGACTGCCACATACAGTTGTTTGAGTTGTGCACTGCACAGGGCATCTGGCTGAGTGGGGAAGGCAGGAGCTGAAAGTCAGTCCATGCTCTGCTTGCCAAGCCATTCATCTTGAGTCAGGGCTATGCCTACTCAAGTCTGAGAAGCACCTTCTTATAATTTGCAAAAAGGAACCATCCAGTTGGCTAGATAAAAAACAATTAGGACTTTTAACTTGGCACTGCAGGAATCCAGGCAAGCCTGGATGGGGAGCTATAAGTTGAGGCTGGCTGGCTGGAGGTGATAAGGCCAGGAGCAGAGTACCTGAATGGTGGAGGCAGGGGCTGGAAAGGTTGATGAAAAAATGGGAAAGTGTAAAGAACACCAAGTGCAGTTTATTTATCCTACAGTGGCTGTCTCTGGCCTTTCCTGGACTCCTGACCCACAGGGAGGGATCCTGCCTGTGGCTCACACTTCCTGTTATTTCTATGCTTTTGTTGGATGCCTTTGATGGGAGTAGATATGGAAACGCAGATTGTCAGAGAGCAGAAGCAACTGAAGAACCACCTAGTTCTATTTTCTTGTTCCCATAGGTAAGAGCATGGAGTCCCAGGGGAAATGGAAGTCTCGTCCCATGTGCCCATGCTGGCACTAGATCCTCAGTTTCCTGACTTCCCACATCTTGCTGAATCTTCCCTCTAATAGGAAATAGATTGAGCTTTTGCAGGCAGTGAAACACACTTGCAAGAGCATAGGTATTGAGTCGGGTCAACCTGGATTTGGGTCCCCACTTGCTATTTCTTTGCTGTGTGATCTTGGGCTAGTTACTTAATCTCTCTGAACTTGTTTTTTTCTACCTATAAGTTGGAGATAAAAGCACTCTCTTTGAAGCGGGGGCCGGGGGCAGGGGGGCGTGGCATGAGAATTAATGTGAAGTCTCCGGGACAGTGTCTCTTCACAAGTCGTGATCCAGACTTCATTCTCCACTTCTATTAGCTTCTCCAGCCCCTGTTCCTTTACCTACATTTTCTCTGTTCCTGAGAATTTGTCAGAGATCTACAGAACATGTATTTCTTTGGAAGGTCTTTGTGTAGCACTACATAAATTCAACATATCAAATAAACCCACTCTTGAGAAATGACTCTACATTTCACTCTAACCTTGATTTAGGGGTTCTGATCCCTAAGATGCCAATGGCAACTGAACTCTGGCCCCCTAACCCAGCCGTCTCTTCCCCCCCCATGATGATTCTTTATGGATTTCAGGAAGCGCCATGTGAAAATAACACCTTGAAACCAGAAGCAAAAGGAACTGGAAAGGCTTCTGCAGGAAGCAAAATATAAAGAAGGTGGAGGGTGGGAGCTCAAAAAAATAAGCAATCACAGGGAGGTTTTGTTTTTTCTTTCAAAATGATTTTTGATGGCACATAGTTACTTGTATTTGTTCCCTGACTTTGAGAGGCTGACAAGTAGCCATCTTATTTTAAATATCTATTGTTACTCCTGAGGTTTTATGCAAAATGGAAAGGATTGTTTTGAACAGTTTCTCATGGACAAGTGGAAGCTGTACGCTTGCTACAAATGATTCATCCAGGAGAAGCGGTATATAAACAAGGCTGCCTGCTTGGAAAGCGGATGGGAGGGCGAAGTATTTCAGAAGGGCTTTTCACTCCTGTGCCAGCTAATGAGAAAAGCAAGCTCTTGAAATAGCAGGGGTGCTGTGGAATGGAGATGTCAGAAAGTTTTAAAATCTTGCATCTCATAGTTAATATCAAAGCAGGCTTTTCTCAAATCTCAGACGAAGACCAGTTGCTTTCTCACAGTCATGGTGTATTGACAGAGCCTGGGTTCTGGGAGCTGATGAAGCGGAGCAGGCTAAGGCAAGACAAGCACCCAGGGCACAAAATTTTAGGAGTTACCTACTTGTAGAGTCCTACAAGGACACGGTCAGCACCTGCATAACCCTGAGCATGAGTGCCTCCTTAAATTTTGTACCTCGGGGACTTCCCTTGCCTCATCTCATCCAGGCTCTGGAACTGAGTTAGAATCAGATCTCTGTCACTTATTGGTAGCATAACCTTGGAGAAACAATTGGAATTAGACTTGACTGTAACAGAAAAACCTCAAATAGGGGTGGCTTTCACAGGTAGATGCTTATTTCTCTATTACAGAAAAATATAGAGTGATACAGAGCAGAGCTAACATCATGTCTCTGTTCCATAAAGTCACCAGAATCTAGGTTTCTTTTAGCATGCTGTCCTGCCGTTCCGGTGTTTTAGTCTTCATGATCCAAAAGGTCAGCCTCCAAGGTTCAAGATGGAGACATCCATGTTCCAGGCAGCAGGAGGGAGGAAGGTGCATGAACCACGTGAACACATGACTAATTTTAAAAATCAATAGAATTACAATTACAAAAATGTAGACCTAACTTAAAAAAATACAAAAATAAAATTTTTTATTTTTTGGATTGTTAAATCACTTATAATTGTTATTTCTATCAATGTCCCTCCAAATTCCCAACATGAGCATCAAGTTTATTATAGTTAGGCCACGGTCTTGCTCCCTGCAACTGAAAATGTTTCCAGGAGGACACATTCTTATGCATCTTCATGAAATGTTCCTAAAGCCATAGCCTTGGGAATAGGAACATTACCCAGAGTGGGGAGGTAGATATCTGTGTATTTGCCTACCCGGCATTCATTCCCCATTCTGGTAGTCACACTCTAATTTTGCTTTGGGGAATTACCAGGTCCTATTACTTGTAGATTTGGTAGAAACTATTAATTGGGCTTTGGGTGGGAAGGCGGAGAAATGTAACTCAAGTCAGAACAATAGCCTCCCTCTCTCTCAGGAACTTGTTTTTTGAATAGAGAGAGAAAAGGTGCAAGAAATATGATTGGGGATCATTCTTTCCAACAGAGGCATGGATTTCAAACAAAGTCCGTGAGCTGCCCCAGACTCCATTCCTTCTGACGTCCGACTCTTCAGCTATTCCTTTAAATCTTGTTCATCATGCTCCATATCCCTCTAGTAAATCTCTTTTACCTAAGTTACTTGGAGTCTGTTTCTGTTGCTTGCAACCCAAGAACCTTAATTGACACAAGTAGTTATTCATTGTTCTACCTGAAGATTTGGAATTGTATAGGCTGGCCCAGACTATTGTTACCTCTAGCTCTTTCCTCCCCAGCATCTCCCGACAAAGCCACTAATGCCTCCCACCACAGACTTAGCCCTGCCATACCTCGGAGCCAACATCGAAGTGGGATATGAAGGTGGGATTAAGATTTAAGTTATCCCGCTTATATCTGGGTTTTAGTGACTAATAGGACTGTTAAGACTGAGACCAACAAGGTGGTAAGTGATATGTAGCATACCAGAGAGGAAGTCCCAGGGGCCAGGCTGAGGAATTACCTAGAATGCACCAATCCAAGGAAGGACAAGGAGAACATGTTATGTAGATTTCACAAAACAAGGACTGTTGCCTCTCTTATTCCCCACTCTATCCTTAGTACTAAAAGCTATGTCTGGCCATGGCAAGTACTCAATAAACATATGCTGAAGGAAAGGATGAAAAAGCAGTAACATTAAGAAGGGCTGAGGTTTGTGGTGTCAGAAACCAAGTGAAGGGGTGAGGTGACCTCACAGAGGTGGAAAGAGGTCAGTAAGCAAGGGAGTACATACGTGGAGTTGAAGGTACAGAAAGGTTGGATTCCAAAGGTGCCAGCCAAGGCAGTCACTGTGATGCTTTCTGGTTTTCCACCATGTTCTCTTGGGTTCTTCTCTCTGCTAATTACATCTCTTAACCAGAGTTAGCCTCAGAAAAACCTAGTGCTACCACATTCAGCTTCTTCCATCCTGCACCTCCAGCTCCTGGATGATTTGGCCCAGCCCATCAGAATGACGTTCTGCCTTGGTCCTCCCCTTGAGTGCTAATGCTTTCCCTTGTCCTAATCCCTAACCCAGGGTCTGGGTTTGTACCTTGTACCCTGCCTTGCTCTTCCAAATCTTCCTCACTAAAACCAAAGACTCGCTCCACTTTCTTGACAGGTCCCTAAGGCGTTGCCACCAAGATCAGGCTTCCAAAATGATGATGTGGTAATAAAAACAGTAATGACAATATCTAACATTTATTGGACATGTATAATGGTCAGCTCCTGGGCAAAGCTTTTTTAGTTTTGTAAAGGGCTCACCATAACCCCATGAACTGAGTGTTATTATTTTGGCATGGACTGTTAGTAGCCTTCTCAACGTTCACTCTCCCATTCACAAAGGTTAAAGACTACACATCACACACTGCCTTGTAGCTAGGAGTGACCAGTGAAATATACACGGAAGTTGCAAGGTGAGCTTCTGAGAAAGCTCTTTAAAGCGGGTAGGGTGCCTTTTATTGCCCTGATCTTTTTCTCTTTCGTCTTGGCTGAAATGTGGCCATGGCTCCTAGAGGGCCCCTTGTAACTATGAAGTGACTTTCGGATGAATGTAGAAGGTGCCTATGCTCCTGATGACTGTGGAGCTGCCCCACCTCTTCAGGCTTCTTTTATAATAGAGGAGATAAACCTCTAACTTTTTAAAGCCACTGTTATTTGGCTGTTTTATTTCATGCAGCAGAGCCTAATCCTGATTGATTAAATATTTTAATTAAATATTAAAATATAGTGGGGCAGACAAATCTATAGTGCCCCCCAAATATCTCTATGCCCCTCCACATTTCTCAGTCTCCCTTGCAGTTAAGCTGGGACCGTGTCTTATTTTGCACCATGGGCTCTGAGCAGAAATTACATATGTCACTTTTTTACTAAGGCACTTCAGAGCCGGTGTGCCTTCTCCAGCTCTCTCTTCCCTGCTGTAGGAACACTGGAGGCTGCATGATGAGAGGGTAGTGTCACAAGATAGAAGGAAATGGGATCCCTGAGGTGGAGAAGGGCTCCCACTAACCTGCCTTTGGGTGGGTGAGAAATTCACTTCTGTTTTGCTATGCCACTGAGAGTTCAGAGTTGACACATGACCATAGCATAGGTTAACCTATTCTGACTAATATGCCTTATTTTATAAACAAAGAGATTGAGTCTTTCAGCAACTAAGTAACTTGCCCCAATCAAAGGGGCTACTTAGTAACTGAGTCTATCTGACCACAATAGCCAAGCTCTGTGGTCTCCAATTCCCTCCTTAGTACTGGCCTCATTGGCATCCCTGATTCTGTTGGCCTCCCATTATTTGCTTCCATCCAGGTCATTCTTCTTTCCTTCAGCATCTCTCTCTCTGGCCTGCGTAGACTAGAATGCCACATGCCCAAATCTTAACCTATGACACTAAGACCATAGAATTATGTCTAATATTGCAATTCTGTGTTGGAATTTATTTAGAATCTTGGCTGGGTGAGTTGGCCAATACTGAAAATGGCTGCCTAGCATCTGGCTCCTATTTGGTCTTTGGCTAAAACAAAAGACTCAAAGTTGATTTTCATTACCGGGTTTGTAGTATTTTCTGTTTTCTTTCCTGAGCACAATGAAGAAAAAGAAAATGAGATGTGGCCATAATTCTGTATCTGAATCATTTAGCTTGGTAGGTTGGAACAACTTGCTCACAGGAAAAGCTCATGTATTCAACAGATGTTATGTTTCGGGGGCCCTGATAGATTCTGGGAATACAAGGAGGATTTTACTGCACAGCCCTTATTTAAAGGAGTGCCCAATCTCAGGACCTGCATAAGTAAATAAAATGCAAAATAGTGTGATAAGCCCAGAATCAGACTGTGTATCAGACACAGTGGTGACACAAATGAGAAGGCTGTCTTTTCTGATTGTCCCCATTCCCGTGGGAAGGGGTTTTAGTGCCCCAGCTGGAAGAGTTTTTCAGAGATTGCTGAATGTTGAGTGCTGTGCTAAGCATTTTCTATAAATCAAATTTTGTCTCTCATTTACAACTATTGCATCTATTCCAGGGATGAGTCAACTGTTGCTCAGAAGGAAAGAGAATCGGTCAAGGTCACACATGTAGGATCCTAACCCGGTTCTGGCCAACCCTGGCACTTCCTATTTCAATACTCCAGTGTACCCAGCCGGTCCCTCTGCAGAGGCAGGTGGGTTTATTCCGACAACATAAGGCTCCATCGTCTTATCCAGTGAGTTTCCTGAGCCCAGCCCTCCACAGTTCCATCTCAGCGTGGGCTTCTGGGAAATTTGGTTCTTCTCAAGGCTTCCCTACCTGCTGAGCCTTATTCTTCATTCTGAAATAAGAGCTGCCCTGTACTGTAAACAGTATCTGGTGCTCACTTCCCGGCCTCCGGCTGGTAGAGCAAGAACATTTACAGTGCGTATGCTTCCCAGCCGAATTTATTGGCTGGGCTTTTTCGAATCCTTTACACCCTGAGAAGCCAGGAGCGCCGGGTCTGCCCTTTGGCGCCATCTACCGGCACTGCTCCAGTCTCTGACCAAGCCCCAATTAATTGGATGAACCTTGCTACATCATTAGCTGATGGTTTTTTGTGGGTTTTTTTGGTCTTCACAGACTAGAGGGTGACCAATTAGTAAAGAAAGTAGATAGCAAACCTATCATACTTTAAAGGGACCAGAGCCTCCTTTCTCTCGCTTTTCCTACCCCACCAGTTGTGACATTCCTTCATCTTCAATTCTTTCTTCCTTTTAAAAATATTTATTTTGTTCTTATATAGAGATCAGGGCACGGGGCACACAGCCACACACCTGAGCAAACAGAGGGGCTGACTGATTTGCTGGCGTAATGAAAAACATTAGTTTTGAGCTCATTACTGTGATTCCACAATGGGCACCAAATCCCACTTAAGACCCACGGAGGAAGTCTTCAAAGGAACACTGTTCCAGGTCTGTGCCTGGCGAATGAGCTGCCTCTCTGAGTCTTTGCAAAGGAATAACTCACAGTTGGAGACCCAGGCCTGTCAGATCAAAACCAGGCCTGGCCTCCAGACCCTGAAACAAGTTGCAACAGTGAGCCTTACTCATTCATTTTCAAAATACGGCCTGTTCTCTACAAAATGGAGCAAAACCTCTTAGATTGGTTCTAGCTTCTCTATTTGATATATTAAAGGAGAATCTCGACTCTTTCCAGGTTTCTGCCAGTCTGTTTTAAATCCAAATGGCTTGGCTGAGAGTGGTTTTTGGTTATTTTTTCATTTGAAATGGAATTCAAAATAGCAGGGGCATAAAGCCTAGATATGGATGGGAGAGATAATTAAAAGGTCCCTGGAGCTCCCCCCATTCACCTTTCACGTTACGGAAAAGGAATTAGCATTTCTTGTAAACCTACTGTCTACTGAAGTAACCCTCAGGGAGGGTGATACTGCTGAACCGTTGAAATTCTCAAGATTTCTAAAGATTTGGATTTCTTCAGAGGTACTTGTTGGGACGATCAAGAGCTTGACTTTAGAGCCAAACCCGACTCCTGACTCGTACAGTCATAAGGACGCAGCCATTTTCTGGGACCAGTCTGGGTCCAGATTCCTGGCGGGGGAGCAAGCCTGTGATAGCTTGCTGATAGGTCTGTTGTGAGGTTCAAACAGGTAACACAGAAGGCATTCCCCTCCCCCCGCCCCCGGGGGTCTGGGCACATCTCAAGAGCTTCACAAACAGCTAATGTCAGGATAAATCTCTTGGAGCCAGGAATCAGAGCTTCTGCCCTATGCATGAGATGTGTGACTTTTAGAAAATGCGTTCTCTTTGCTCACTGTCATCTAACCTCTCAGGTTTTTTGAGACTTGAGGTTCGAGGTACTATATTTGGACATGCCGCATTAAACGGCACACCATCTGGATCCACCTGCCCCATGGCCTCCTCCTCTTCCCATTCTCTCCCTTGATTCCCCTGGAGAGAACCTTACATTCTAACCACACTGGTCTTCTGGCTACTTCTAATGCATGCTTTTGCCCAAGACAGGAATGCTCTCTCCACCCACTCCCATATGCCTGACTAATTCCTTCAGGTCTCCGTTTAAAGGTCACTTCCTTGGAAAGGCCTTCCCTAATGACCAGACTGAGTCAAGCTCCTTCCCGCCCTTCCACTGAAGGCTCTGGGAGCGCACCCTTCACAGTATCTGCAGTAATACTACTTGCACATCTTTGCAGCCCTTTGCAAAGCGCCACAGTATCTGCAGTAATACTACCTGCACATCTTTGCAGCCCTTTGCAAGGTGCTATGTTTGATAAGTAATTGTGATCTTTTCAATAATCTGTTAAATGTCTCTTTTCCTTACCTGACAGTAAGTAGGCAGAAACTCCATCCATTTTTGTCCATGAATAGTTGATGATTGACTGATGGGCCTGAGTCCTACCTTACTCCTTGATGTCCCCTCTCCCTGGAACACTATCCCCCCATTTTTCTGTCAAACTTCCCCTCATCTCTCTTTTTTTTTAAGATTTTATTTATTTATTTGACAGAGAG